TACTTGTATAATATATATAATTATCTATATATACTGCGTGTAAACACTTCTTTGAGTAACACTTGAAGATTGTGAAAATGGGCGGAAATACATAAATGTTGTTCTTGAAACACACAACCTTGAGCTGAAACTAAGTCTATAGAAGAAATGAAACGCTACAGCGTGGTTAAACTAAATGTGGCTGGCGCTTATTCTGATTAATAAATAATGTTTATTTTGATTGTATAAAAACTACGCCGGGTTAGTAAAATTATATTTATAAATTATATATTGAGACCCGTAAAAGATCTTTAGTCAGGAGTGCTCGAATACACTTGTTGAACAACGAAATGAAATCAATTAACCGATTAATATCGATAAGGATAGCAATCGAACTCTGTATACCAAGAATATATGTATATTTCAAATTTCAACACTTTAACTTTTGTGGTTTTCGAGATTCCTGCGTTCATACAAAAACTAGACAAAAGACTGACATGACTCAATCGATTCAACTCTTTTATAAATATTAGATACTTAAGGTGCTGCCACGCCTTCTTCGGCTTGTTACATAAATGTAGGGTATATATGTAGATACTCCCAGTTTAGTTCAAGTTAAAAGTTTAGATTCTTCACTCACCGATTGCCCCAATCAATTTTGGACACCACAACCATTTGGAGTTCGGTCGTCTGATCCTGAGTCATGGTGGCGCTCAGCAGCTCTCGCCGACTATCCAGTATGGAGTACATGACTTTGCGCAGCGTCTGGAACTTGTAAGCCTCACGATCCTATGCAGAAAGTGTTTGATATAATAAAGATGATTTAATCTGTTTAGAGCATATACTTGCCACATAGAGACGCTTCCAGATCTCGGACCATTCGCGCAGCACTTGCGTGCACTCGGCCACGACCGGATCGATCTTCGACAGATCCTTGATGTGTATATAGGTTTTGGGAAAGATGCCCACGGCGCGGGACTTGCGCGGACAGGAGCCGCGAAACCAATGCCGACACTCCTCGACAATGTCCACGGAGTCGCCCACATCCAGGGCCAGGCCGTAACGCACGTCGCCATGCCAGTTGTGTATGGCTAAAAAGAAGAAGCAACAACCAAATAAATAAATGGATGGAGTGTTAGAGGAGTTGCATGTGGAATTGCAGCAATCGACAGCAACCAGTTGCGCCTTGGCCCGTGACATTGGAGCCTGCATTGGTATTGAATACAGAAGAAGACGCCAGCCAGGCTATAGCCGGCCTATTGAAGGCAATTAAAGTGCTCCCATGAGTGGGCACTTGAGCATGCCACGAGTGGCACGGCAACAATAAATACTTCAACTATAAATAGGCAAATGGCTGTGGAAACAAAATACGTTCGAGCATGTATATCGAGGGGGGTGTCTGTGTCTCTCTCAAGGAGCAACAACACCAACAGCAACAGCAGCAACAACAATTGCCACAAGCGGCACTTGGCAATTGAACACTTTTGCCTGCAATGAACAATAAAGAGAAGCTGCAGCTCTAGATGAAGCACGAGTTGAGGCTTGAGCAAGGGAAGCTGCTGCTGTTGCTGCTGCTGTTGCTGTTGCTGTTGTTGCAATTGCTGCTGTTGCTGCTGCTGCTGCTGTTGATAAGTGGACGTATAAATCCGCAACGTGGCCGCCATGCTGGCCAATTACAAATGCCAGGCACGCAGTGGAGTCCGGGCGGCGCCGCAAGACCATGTTGTGGGGGTGTTACGTTGCCTGTGTGTGTGTGTGTGTTTGTGTTTGTGCGCGCGCTGAAAGACAAACGAGCGAGCACGGCATGAGCATATCAACGAAAGGAGCTAATAAAACGCACAGCCAGACATATGAGAGATAGAGTGAGTAGTAGGGCGGCGGGGGCGGAGGGGGCGGCGCACGGCTATTGCTGGATGGATGGATGGATGTACATATGTAAGTGCTATAAGTCTGTCCGTCTGTCCGCTCGTCTGTTCGTCTGTGTGTGTGCGCGTCTGTTGGTCTGTCTGTCATATGAAATGCTTCAATGCGATGAAAATGGGCAAACTGCTTCCTGTTGTTGCTGTTGCTGTTCTGGTATACCCTGTGCGCATTTCATACGGAAAGGGTATATTGAAATCGTGGAAGTTTAGTTGAAGAATTTTTGGTATGTATATTTAAACCTTAAAATCTTGATTGAAATAAGAGATTCTCAATTGTTGTATTGATTCGAATTCTCCATCTCTGCATCTCTTTAATAATATTTCTGTATTTGAAAGACTTTGTATATATATGTAATATATATATTGAAAATGGTTAAATATATATATTTATAGGTCTATTGAATCTCTTCGAAACTACAAAATGTAAAAAATTGGAAATTTTCAACGTATTCTCTCAGTGTATGTCCTAGCAGAGCACTTGTTAGTCGAGCAATATCTATTTGTTATTCCTGTGGCTGTTGTTGCCGTGCATTATGTTTGCCGCGTCTTTATCTGCGTCTTCCTGCTTTAGCGCATTCGCCGGCTTGGGGTCGTCGTATAACTTTTGCAACTGACTGTAGCCGGCTGGAGCCGGTGCCTGAGCTGGAGCCGTTGCCGTCGATGGAGATGGAGATGAAGCCACTGCTGATTTAAATGGATTTCAAGCTGCTAAATAGCTAAAATTTTATAATTTAAATGGATAAAGCAGCGAGGGAGGCGCTCTGAAGTTGAGCTTCGGCTTGAAGCAATTCAACTTGAGCTGCACAGCAACACTCAAGCAAATGAGCACACACACCACAGACACTACACACACACACACACACATACACAGTCATTTAAGCTGTGGCAGTTACGGGCAGGCACAGTGCCAACCAACCGTCGCACTATTTAGGTCAGTCACATTAGGCGGGCGTCGGGCTGGCAAGC